TGTCAAGAGCTGAAGGCTGACGATGAACTAATGCCAGTAGTGTTCCTGTGAATCGCCCGTCATGGTTCATTTAAAAACACAGAACTTCAAACGGGGGCCTTTAGACGTCTCTCACATTCCTGCATGATCTGTAGTCATGAGCAGCTTTAGTGGAGACCAGACATGAGAACACCGAGGACACAGAGCATCTGGAGGTTATAGGAAAATGTACTTTTCTCTCCAGAGATCACAGCAAAGAGGAAGATGAAGGACAGAGAAAAAATGTAGCTCCTGGTCTCGTCTGTGCTCTGAGGTTTTTGAAATCTCACAGAGATCACAGTGAACAAGGTGAGAGGCAGAGGAGTGCAGCTTCTCACTTCTGTTGACATACTGTCTACACTATTCGTCCTTCAATAGAAGAAAGACAGAAATAAAAACCTCACACAACTGCTTCACTTACACATTACTAAAACTAAGGTTGTGTGTGAATAAAAGAACTCAGTATGAACATGCTCACGTTCGTCTCTGCTGCTGCTGCCCTGCTGTCTGTGCTGCAGGTCTGACTGCTTCCGGCTGTGCAGACCTTTCCTGCCGTCACCGGACCAGACGTCAGACGGAGACTCCTGCAGCAGCCCCAGCTCCTCCGCCGTGTGGCACTCCAGCATCCCCATCGTATAATCGGGCAGCCCCGTCGCTTTGCCCGTGTCCCAGCGGGGCGCATAGCGGGGCACCTGGGCGTCCGACTGGGGCAGCAGCTTGCGGTCACTCTGCTGGCTGTAGCAGAGGAGCTTGGCCCCCCGCCTGGTGGGGCCGTTGGAGGAGACGGCGTCTTTGTTCTGGGCGTACTGGATGATGCGGTTCAGCTTCTGGCTGAGGGCCAGCTTCATGCCCTCGTAGGCACTTCGGGAGACCTTGGAACGTGACAGCTTCTGGTTGGCGATGAGGTGACACTTCTCGAAGCAGTCTCTGTGGCCTCGCAGGGACTTTGAGTGCAACAAGGTGGCAGAGGACACACCTGCATTCACAGACACACAAAGCAGGGAGTCAGTAACCACAATGAGAGGCAGCACAATCAAAGATATGAGAGGAAAAACACAGTGAACTCAAAAACTTCACGGTTTTTGACCATAAAAAGGATGCAGGAAAAAAAAAACTCCTCAAAGTGAGTGGAAGATAGAGCAGTAACCTACTGAACCTCCCACCGCAAATAAAAGGAAACCAGTATGAGCGCGAGCTAAAACTGGCAGATCGACCTGCCGTGATCTCTCCGTGGAAGCTGCTTAGTGTGCTGTGGATTAGCCAGCGGAGCGTTGAAATAGCAGGGATAACAGATTAACCCAGTCTCAATGCAAATATAAAGCATATTTAGAACATTTTCACTGAGCGTCACACGAAACGAAAATAGTCTCCGACACATGAAGCAGTGTTTCATTTAAGTTCATTCATTAGACCTCGAACATACTGCTGTACCTATAAAACATATATATATGAAGAGTTCATTTGCAAAAACAAATCACTCTAACTTGTTTTTTTTGTTGTTTGCTTCAGATAAAATCAATCAAACTGAAGTTGAGTGGATCTGACTCAGTGGAAATGACAAAAACAGAGATAACTTCAGTTTGATTGATGTTGTCTCAGGTAGACGATGGAACATTAAGTTCTCTGAAGGTTTGTGAAGATGGAGGTATCTGTTTTTGCAAATTAACTCTTCATATATAAACATTTGTCAAACAACAAGACCGATATGAACCCAACTTGCTGATCCTGCGTTAAAAACAAGACTGAAGTATCTCATCTCAGCAGAAGATGAACCTCAGAAACAAAACAATTCCACATTTGTCATTAAAAAATAAACTGAGCAGCAGCTTCGGCACACGGGCTGCTGCTGTTATATAACCAAGACTACATTCCTAGGAGGTACCTAAGGACACATGGCGACGCTTCCTGGATCCAGTCAAAACAGGTCACGCTGTAACCATGTCTGTATGCACGGAGGAAATTAAACGCCTAATAAGTGGAGCAGAATTAAAATAACCTCTGAGCAAAATGGGCCAGAGCTTTATAAACAAAGAAAGCTGAAGGTGAAGGAGACGGAACGGGCGAAAAGCGGCGAGATGTGGCTGAAGAGAGTGTGATGGTGTGACGGCCTTCTTCTCACAGCCTACATTTCTCAGCAGACAGACGTACGTGTTGGAGCCTGAGGTGAGGAGATTAGTCAGCGGTGTTCATACAGATTTAAGAGCTCACTTAGGCCAGTTTAGCCTGCAAACACCTCTCCAGCAGTATAATACATACACACCAACACTGGTTACACATATACAACTAAACACACAAGAACAGTCTCTATGGGCCTGGTAGTACCAACAGATCCAGTAGCTGACAGGCAATAAACAATACAAGGAATACTTGAGGCCTATATACGTCAACTGACCTAAAATCCACCATAATGGTGACAAGAGGAAATGGAACCTAAACTTTCAACTGGTCAAGCAAGAGACCCAAGCCATGACTTACTTCAACTCAAAGACACAGCATCACCTGAGCTGTGAGGACCAGACATAACCTATGCTGACTATTTCAGGATTCTGGCAGTTTTTCACAACACTGTATGTTTAAAATGTCCTTTATATGAGAAGAACTGAAGAGAAAAATCTGTTTCAAGTACAAATTTGAGTTAAGGCAATGCTTGGTTCTGTGTAATTTACCTCCACACCTTCTGTTTAGTTTTTTTGGACAGCAAACAGTCCACATCTGATCTGGGACAGTCGGCATTATTGTGTTTTATACGTCTCATTACATAGAAAGGTTTCAAACCATTACACAACCGTGTGAAATTCTATTCTTAGCTCCTGCATATTTGGACCCAGAGTGCCTAGAAAGACGCATCTTTCCAACGGATTAGCCTTTTGAGAGAAGCACATTATATAAAAACGTACGAGTCGTGTGTGTGCATGCTGCCTAATGAATGGTCAATAAATCTCCAGACGCCTTCCTAATAGCTGCAGCGGCTTTCTGCCAGTCAAACAGCCACGCTATAATCCGATCAGTCCCAGTCTTTGGACTACCACAAAAACACACTGACTATCAGTTGCCGAGCAGAAAAACCATTGGCCCACAACCAGGGCAGCGCAGCACCAGCCAAAGACCTCACTCCAGCTAAGCAGCTTAGCACGAGTCTTTCATGGCTGCACACATAAGCGCAGGCACACACAGACTATTCACTGGAGGTGAATCAACATTGTTCAGCGGTGACAGCGAGAGACGTTAGGCACACTGATGACCAACGAGCTTGTTTTTTCCTGCTCTTATGTGGGGAAGGAGCCAAGTCGGACAAACAAAGACGAAGCACAGACACACGCTTGGTTGGGTCTCTGGACGAAGCCTTAAACACCTGGCAGTGTAGCGCTAAGCTATCAAATCAGAATCAAAGTAGTTAAGCCAATTTAAATATTAGAAAATAATAAATGTGTTGTAAAAAGAAAACCACAGTAAAGTGATGCTTATAAAAGTCAGACACAGGGAGACAATAGTGATGTGTGTGGCTGACAGACACTTAATCAAGCCATAAGAAAATTCTAACGAATGTTTGATATTGGGCTGCAAGGTGGCTCGGTGGTTAACATCGTTGCCTCGCAACTAGAAGGTCGCCGGTTTGCGTCCCGGTGAGGACACCCAGGATCTTTCTGCGTGGAGTCTCCATGTTCTCCCCGTGCAGTGTGGGTTCTCTCCGGGTTCTCCGGCTTCCTCCCACAGTCCAGAAACATGCTGAGGTTAATTGGTGATTGTAAATTGTCCGTAGGTGTGAATGTGAGTGTGCTTGGTTGTCTGTCTCTAAGTGTAGCCCTGTGATAGACTGGTTACCTGTCCAGGTGAACCTGCCTTCACCCTGAGTCAGCTGGGATAGACTCCAGCCCCCCATGACACTGGTGAGGATTAAGCGGTCTATAGATGATGGATGCATTAGATACAAACAACCAAGAAAACACACAACAGAAACACAAAGTTCAAGAACAAGCCTGAAGCCCCTTCCCATGTCCCAACAGCCAAAGCCTTGGTAAATGAACCGGTTTGTCCTCCCTGCACCCCCCCATGGCTTTTGTGCAGGTCTCCAAGGTGTGCTGGCCCACAACCGCATTGGCCTCCTGTCGCCTCCAACCCAGCCCTCAGGCAACAAGGATCAGTGGTGGCCTTAGAGAGACGATCCTCCTGCACGCCTGTGTCTCCCACCGATCTCAGCAGCTTGCTCCGTGGAACATTATTAAAACAGGCCTTTGAAAGTTGTCACTGTTTTATCGATGTCGACTCAATCATTAATCCCTCGTCTGACACTTAACAAGGACAGTTCTTGAAATTGTTTTTCATACAATTTAAGGGAAGGCTCTTATTTCAGGGGCAGTGAAACACTTTACAGAGTTTTTGTCACACATCTGAGTAAAGAGAAGTTGAGCAAACTGTGGAGCGGCATTAAAACACAGGAAGAACGAACTGCAGCTATGTTGGGTCATTTATAGCAAAGCAGCCAAAGGAGCTCTCTCAAAATGCACACGGCATAATCGGCAGGCTGCTGAGACCAGATCTAGTTCTGCTCTTTATTTAGTGGCTGCAGTTTTGTCCAAATTTAACTCGCATTCTAACTTGCACCCTGCAAACTTGGTCTTGTGGTTTAAATCATGGAAAGGAAACTCAGACGTGAGTTTCAACTGTGCTCATGCCATGGACACACATATACAGAACATAATACAGACCCGGTTGTGTTTCAGCATGTGTCTCTTTTGTCTGGAGCTACCATGTGCAGACTTCTGGTTTTGCTCTGAACAGTGTATCTCCCGGGCAAGGACACCTGATTCTTGACACACTTCTGGGGAGCCACGAGTTGGTAATGAGGACAAGTGGGACAGAGGTCACGGGTGGTAAAGTGTCACACAGCACAGCATGGCACCGCTCAGGAGAATGTGTTGTCAGCAGCTGCACGAGCAAACCTGGACGGCAACACAGCGCTCACATGAACAACAGTGAACTCAAACCACCTGTTAACCGCTACACAACTTCCACAGCTCTTCCCACAGACGAGCTGTCGGTTACAAGAAACCACACCTGCCCAAACTGAAACTCAACAACAGCTACACCATCTGCTTCAGCCTGGAGGACACGTAAAGAGGACCGAAACCTACACTCGTGTATACATCTCAGCATGGCAGACGACAAAATGAAAACAAAACAGCACATAGTCACCAAAACAGAAACAGACTTCAATCAATACACAACATGTTCTCTACATTTAGAACGAAAGGAGGAAGCCGGAGAACCCGGAGAGAACCCACGCTGCACGGGGAGAACACGGAGACTCCACGCAGAAAGATCCCAAGTGTCCTCACCAGGACGCAAACCGGCGACCTTCTAGCTGCAAGGGGACGGTGCGAACCACCGAACCACCGTGCAGCCCTGATATAAATCCTACACATATAAATTTACATATATTCTAAAGTCTAAGAAGAAAAAAACAAAAGTCAGTCATCAGGTTTTCAAAGCATAATGACATCTGAATGATCAAAAACATCTTAAATCAGGGTATTTCTGTCATAACATAAATAATGCTTGTAACTCCAGTGACACTAATCTTTTATGGAGTGGAAACAAAACACCTCAGCCACTTGTGAATGAATGTAGGAAACAAAAAGGCTCAATTCTGGCAAATTAATATTACCAAACAATGAAATCCTCTGTACGACCCTTAATAAACCTGTGTTGTTGTTGTTGTTGTTTTTTTAAACTATACAAAGTTTACTGATATTATTAAAGACCATCTAAATATTGCTCAAGAATCACTTCACTTTAGGCAGCATTTTTGGAGCTCTGACAACAAATGATGCGTATACAAAGCAGACAGCTGTCTCTGCTCAGGCAGAACAACGTAAACAACATGTCAGACTCTGCGGTGAGTAAACACTCACGAGCTCGTCACATATTAACCCAGACGCTTTGCATGGTAAAGATGTAGTGACAGAAATTCAAGAA